ACATATACTTGGATATATATATATATATATATATATATATATATATATAGATAGATAGATAGATAGATAGATAGATAGATAGATAGATAATATTAGTGGTAAATATACACATACATATGCAAAATATATAAATATATATATACATAGGTGCATACACATACATGTATATTTTTTGAATAAAAAATTCCAAGAGGATAGAATCCAGGTAGAACTCAATGTCCAGGACAGAGTAAGGATATAATAAAAAGGTTTAAATACTAATATTCCATGGTCATAATTTATTCTATTGGAATCGTAAAAGTCATAGCAAATATATAGCATTTTAATCTTTAATTTTAGTGGATACTCGTATTTGAATAGACGCTCCTTTTATTTATTAAATAGCATCTTTATTTATTTTCGTCTATCGGCCTGAATGTTCGAGAAATTTCCTTTAATAAGTTTTCTATAAGATTTCTTGAGCATTCAGGCCAGTAGACGAAAATATATTTGAAAAAATATTGTTCAATAAATAAACGGAGTATCTACTCAAATACGTGTATCCACTTAAAATATCAGTTAAAGGGATAAAAAAAATATCGGCTTAATTGCTTTCTTTTAAAAAACCCTCATATATATATATATATATATATATATATATATATATATATATATATATAAATATAAATTAAATCCTAAAGAGCCAGGAAAACCTTCTTTTTTTATTTCCAATTTTTTCCTCGGGTACCAATTTGTTTTGACATATCTACAAGTTGAGCTATCTGAGTTTTTTTTTTTTCGAAACGAGTATTATTATTATTAGTGTGTGTATATATATATATATATATATATATGTGTGTGTGTGTGTACTTTATTTTAGGATATTACATCGAAAACATGTCAAAATCGTTACGCAATTGCAGTCGTGTTTCGATGCGCATGCAATGCATCTCATCAGGCGATTGTAAATTACTGGCAAGTGAACGATTTAATCAGATTTAAAAGCAAAATACAGCCTCTTTTTACGAAAAAAGAAAAGAGCAGGGTGGTTATAAGGTTTGCGGGCTTTCTTAGATCGACCAATCGAATATATATATATATATATATATATATATATATATATATATATAACCATGTACAAAGTTGGTGTACGCGGAATAAAATTCTATTAACGAAAAACACTTTTCTTAAATTGTGTTCAATACGAAGTAGAGGTAATATGTTTGGTTTGGTTTGTTTTACGGCATATCAACATCAATAGGTTATTTAATGCCGACAACATTTATTTTGCTGGTAATATTTTGTTTTTGTCAAAAATCTATTTCTCGTAATATTTTTTCTTCAAAAGTATTTTTCTGGTAATAGTTTTTTTTTCTACAAAAATTTATTGCTGGTAATAATTTTTTACGAAGTATTTCTGGAATTAAAACCTATTTTTACACTTTAGTGTTTTTACTACAGTTTCGGGGTTAACTATTTGCCCATAGCTAGGACCCTAACAGGTGCTACCACCTTGGGTCGGGGTGAACGTGGGAACACCAACAATTGAGGTGTTTCCACGCTCCTGATCAGAGACCTTGCTTTTGGACGTAGTTTATCGTCTTACCCAGGACGCGGATGTAGTTTATCGTCATACCCATGACGGAGAACTAATATGTATTCAAATTGATAATATATACATGTTATAAGTTCACTACAAAGTTGCAATTTTGTTTCAACACTGCTGGTATCTTATCAAGTGATGATGTTGAATGGAAAATAACCAAGAAAAACCCCTCAGTAGGAGAAACTTTGTTACGTAAGCTATGGTTATTCGTTTATTTGTATGTGTGTGTGATTGCTCGTCTATTATTTTACCTGTATATATATATATATATATATATATATATATATATATATATATATATATATATATATGTATTTTAAGCATTTCACCCCAAGCAAGGCGGTGAGCCACTAGGACGCAAGGGGTTACAGAAAATTTAGAGCAAGATCAGATAGGAGTGATAGAAGAAAGGATGAGGAGAAGGGTAGTGGAAAGATCAAGGCAACTGGAGATGTCGATTGACATTACACTTGAATAGCTGGAGATTATAGCTCACAGGGAAACAGGAATAGGGAAGGGAGTTCCACAGGCTAGAGGTGCGAGATATGAAGCTATTGGAGTAGAAGAGACGGCTACATTTAGGAGTTTCGACAATGAAGGGGTGAGAGCGGGATGCCAGCCTCATAGGGCGCTTGAACTCATGAAGTCTGGGAACCAGCGAATGCAGCTCCTCGGAACAATTTCCATGAAAGTATTTGTAGAACAGACAGGTTTTTGATGTCTGTAAAATAATTTTCTTTTGCGTGTTTTTATGTGCTTGTCTTTATTTTTATTCTCTCTTGTTTTTCTATTTTTTTATTTTTCTGTTTTATTTTTTATATTTTTCCATCCTCTATTTTGTGTGTGAATATACTTCCCTGTGTTTGCGTGCCTATATATTTACCCGCCTTGACTTATACGTACGTGTTTATGTGAATGTTTTTGCCCCGTCATTTGAAAGTCCCCTTCCCTCCTTACCCACTTATTTGAATTCTGACTTCCATGTATCAAATATTTGTAGCGATCGAAGATACTTTTTTTTTTCATCAACGCCTAACTTCACTAATAAATTGGCACTTTGCCTAGAATATTAAATTATATTTTTTTTTCTCCTGGTTTCATTTCTCAATATTCTTGAAATAATATTAAACCTGATGCTTGGTTAAGTTTAAATTTTGAGATTTCTAATTTTTAAATTTTTGATCATAAATTTAACTAAATTTAGTTTTTATATTGATTTTTAATTTTAACTTTAATTCGCTAATATATTGTACATATATTAAAATCTGTTGTGATGTCATTTTAAACTACCATTTTGATTAATCATCATAGGTTACGTAACAAAGTTTCCCCTACTGGCGTTTGCTTGGCTTTTGAACTCATAAAATCGTTTATATTTCATTCAGCATCATCACTCGAGCAGTGTTGAAACAAAATCGCAACTTTGTAGCGATCTTACAACATGTACATGTTATGAATATATATATATATATATATATATATATATATATATATATATATATATAAGAGAAGAAATATGCTCTTAAGGTGTGCTATATTTATTGGATAAAGTACTCAATATCAGAGATAGAGCGTATGTAAATATAAAATGAATATTGAAGTCAATACTTAGAGGTGACAAGCTGTTTCATGCTAGACGCAATCGTTAGGCCACCTATATATACATTTGTCTGTAAAATAATTACCTGAAAAAATAATGGCCTGACGATTGCATCTAGCATGAAACAGCCTGTCGCCTCTAATTTTGACTTCAGTGTTCACTTTATATATATATATATATATATATATATATATATTATAATTATATATAAATATATATATATAATTATAATTATAATTATATATAAATATATATATAGTAAAGGTAATAAAGTGGATCTAGTAATATAAAATATTAAAACTGATCCATGAAAAGAGCTCAATGTATTTATTATTGCAGAGCAAATAAATAGCAGTACGCAATAAAATCCCAAATTACCTCATATGGGAATAAACATTTCAACTGACGAAAATTCGTCAGTCTTATTCAACCCCCGGTATATAGACTGAGTTCGTGTCGGAATTAAAAATTTAACTGTGAAAGCTGTCGAAAAACTAATACAGAAATTATCCCTTTCAATGTTTCAGTCAGAAGAAAGGCACGAGACAGTGGTCAGGGGAGGGTGGAACGTATTTGTCTTAAAGGGAAGAGGTTTTACAAAAATAACCCGGATATTAACCTTATGACATTGAATTGGGGTTATATTTCATCGGTTGAAATAGGTCTATTCCCCATATGAGGTAATTTTTAGATTTTATTGTGTACTATATATATATATATATATATATATATATATATATAAAGAAAATAGAACTTTGAAAACCTTTATATACATCTAATATCTGTGGGTGAGGATAGATATATATTTGTGAACTTCTCCCACCCGAAGGCCCATTGTCCTGTACATAAAGCTGACCGACAGATGTATGTTCACTCGTAGAAAAAAAGATTGACAAAGAATATTTGATATAACATCTAAAAATAAGGTTAATTCAGTTTTCTTTTGAGTCTCATTAATCACTCAGTAGCATGACATTGCCTGAGAAAATTGGGAATTTTTTAATGTTTTTGTTTTTGATTTCAATTTTCTCTTCAGATGCTGTCTTCAACTTCAGAGAACATCGAAGCGGCAAATCATAAAAGTCTAAAAAGTCGTTCTCTTTGTTTTTCTTTTTTTCTTTCTCATACTTTCTTTATTTCGAGGAGGCAAATTATAAACGGCAAAAAGTATATTTTCTTTCTTTTCTTTCACTCTTTCACAATAGATCCTTTTTCTCGCTTTCTTTCTGTCATAGAATATTTAGTTGGCAAATTATAAGTGTCTGAAAATGGACTTTTTCGTTTTTTCGTTTTCGTTTCTTTCTTTCTTTTTTCTTTCTTTCTTTCTTTCTTTCTTTCTTTCTTTCTTTCGCAGAACATCGAAGGAGCAACTTATAATCGATTGAAAAAGGATTCTATCTTTATGTATTTCTCACTGACACTGCTTTCTTTTGTTCTTTCTTTCTTGTTTTCTTTCGTTCGTTCATTCTTGCTTTCTTTTCTTTTTTTTATTTCTATCATTCTTTCTTTCGTTCTTTCTTTCGTTCTTTCTTTTGTTCTTTCTTTCGTTTTTGTTCTTGATTTATTTCGTTATTTCTTTAATAGAACATAGAGTTGGAAACTATAACCGTTTCAAAAAGGACATTTTTCTTTTTTTTATTTCCTTTTCTTTCTTTCTTTCTTTCTTTCTTTCTTTCTTCCTTCCTTCCTTCCTTTCTTTCTTTTCTTTCTATTTTTTCTTTCACTATGCATATTTGTTTCTGTCTCTTTCTTTCTCACTGCCACATTCTTTCACCGTGAATTTCATTTGTTTATCCTATCTTCTTTAGCGAATATATATCTAATTAGAGATTTTTCCTTACTTTCACGATGCATTTTCTTCTTTTCTTTTTCTATCTTTCCTTTTGCTTCTTTTTTCTTTCGGTCTTTCTATCTTCCTCTTCTTTATTCTCATACTTTCTTACCCACTTTCTTTTCCTTACATTGCTTTTCTTTATAAATATTAATTTTAATTTGTTTGATATCTTTGTTACAATCCGTCCCTCCGCTTTTTTTCCTTTCTTTTCTTATTTCTTTTCTTTTATTCTCTTTTTTTCAATCATTCCTTCTCTTCTTCACGCTCTTTTTTCTCTTTTATGCTTTATTCCTCCTTTCTTTTTCGTTCTTCTTTTCCCTTTCCATTCTCTCTCTCCGCTGCCTTTTTATCTTCCCTATTTTTCTTCCGTTATCAACGTGCATATTGCGACTCGTTCCGTGATTTCTTTTGTGACGTCCCTGGGAATGAAGTTTTTAATCATCCCGTTCATAAATGCGCGTCTGAGGTCTTGTCCTGGGTGAAAGCCGGCATCGGTTTTTTTATTCCAGCAAGGAAATACCAAGTTAAACAGCCCTCATCTCCTTGTTTCTCACCTGAATGCTCGGCTGCTATAGCCCACACGAATCACTTCTTCCAGCTGTCCCAGAACGATACGTCTGATTGCAACAGACGTCTCTTTGTCTCTTCTCGTAACAAGTGCAAGAGTGCCCCCAAAGAAGATGTTACTGTTTGTTATTAGAATAAAACAACGTATAACATCTCGCAAATTCGGTTCTAGCGATTATTAGTGGTACTGCAAGAGTGTGTTGAACAATAGCAAATCATCAATCCCTGCTCTATTCAATCAATTCGAAGTCCTGACACCTACAACAGATAAGGTTGAATGCTTTGCTCGGAAATTCTCTTCCAACTCAACACGCATTTGGGGTACCCACTCCTGATATGCGCAAAAACCCGGTCACAGGTCTTGGACATTAATTCTAAATTAGATTCCGATAAGGCAAGCGGAGGTGACGAGATACCAGCCGTCGGCCTAAAGAAATGTGCTCCCAAGCTAGCTCCAGTTTTCTTCAAACTCTACAATTATTGCCTCGCTGCTTCCTGCTTTCCAGCTTGTTGGAATTTTTCTCTGTCCTGTTCCTGTTTTTAAGAACTCTGGAGAACCTTCTGATCCAGCTAAGTATCGCCTTATTAGTCTCCTACCACTTTTCCGCAAAGTATTTGAGGCTTTAATCAATGCTGAAATGGTTAAGCATCTTACCTCTCATGACTTACTCTCGGACAAACAATATGGCTTCCGTTTCACCAGGTCTACCACTGATGTACTAACGGCCATCACTAAATATGCATTGATAATAATGGCGAAGCTCAAGCTATGGCTCTAGTTATCTCAAAAACGTTTGACAGTGTTTGGCAGGGTGGTCTTCTACGTAAGCTCCAGGGCTACGGTATTACAGGACGATTTTTTGATTTAATCCGATCGTTCCTATCAAATCGTGAAATGAAGGTCGTTTTGAACGGTCTCGCTTCCAGATCCTTTCACACGAACGCAGGTGCCCCCCCCCCCAAGGCTCTACCCAGGGTCCTACGCGGTTTCTGATTTTTATCAATGATCTTCTCGATGTCATCAGTTCCCAAATAGGTGTTTATACAGATGACCCTAACATTTACTTCTGTCTCAATAGCAAATCCGTCAGAGCTGACAAAGTTAACCTGGCTAACTCTTGAACTCTTGAAAAGAACCTCTAATCAGATCTGAGACAGGAAATGGCTTGTAAATCTCAATGCCTCCAAAACAAAACTGTTTTCATTTAACTACTATAAACTTTCCTGGCCGCCATCAGCATGGCTGATGCTAGACTCCTGGAGAACAACACACTGCGTCTTCTTGACTTCACGTTTTCAACTGACTTGAAGTGGAACGATTACATTGAATTAATAACTGCATCTACTGCAAGGAAAGTTGGGCCATGGTTTTGTGCCAGAGATTTTTTCTCGTCAGAGTCCATCTTGCACATTTACAAATCTATCACTCGTCCTTGCGTTGAATACTGTTACCATATCTGGTTTGGTGTTCCTGCTATTCATCTCGAGGTTCTTGACAAAATCCAAAGAAGGGTCTGCAATGTAATCGATCCTGATTTGGCATCTCGACATTAGTCACTTTCACACAGAGGTGATGTGGCTTTCCTCTGTCTTTTCTACAAATATTTTCATGGCAACTACTCTGATGAGCTTTTTACCTTGTTGCCCCGACTACATGGATTTACGCGTGATACTAGATTGGCATATAGGTCCCACCCTTTTATTGTTGAAAGTTAAATGTAACCGCTACTTCTACTCCAGCAGTTTCTTTTCTCTCACTTCCCGCCTGTGGAACTCCCTTCCGTTTACTTGCTTCCCTGAAAACTACAATCTTCAAAAATTTAAATGCTACGTCAATTGCTATCTTCTGTCTTCTTGAATCCCGTTCATCTTTTATGCTTTCCTCACCCCCACCCTTATACCCAGTCTTTTCTCTCACTTTCACTCTCTGTAACCCCCTGTGTACAAGTTGCATCCCCGCCTTGCTTAGGGGGAAACGATTAAAAAATATGAAAACTGGGTAGCTCCAACCCAGATATGGCAGCAATATTCTATTGTTGTCTTGATCTGGTTCTTGTTAAGATAGAGTATAGCGGAGATAGTCAGATACTTACTAGAATGGTACAACGAACCGACCATTTTTCCAGTATCAATAGAAATAGTTCCAAGAAAAACGTGAAATTTCCATGGTTACTGATATTAATTATTATTTTGCATCTAAAAAATAAGCTATACTTAGTAAAAAGAAATTCAGATTTAAAATTAGATTTAGAGTTGATATCAATGGTGGTTGTCTTGACTGCATGATACGTATAACTGTCATCCTCAATTCTGCATTTTTTTCCTGTTGTTTTTACTTCTCTAGATCGTATTTTTTTTTCACATTAGTCAATAATTTTCATTGGTGATTAAGTGACAGATAATTTCCTAGATATCCAAACATTTTTCTCAGCAACCCATTTAATTTTGGTAATGGTGTCGTCTAGATAATTTCAATCCTTCGTTGGATTTACATTTCTTCCTGATTTTTACAAGACTCTTCTGAGCTATTCGAAGCAATCCAGTAATGGTGGATACATTTGTCTTTTTTCTTATTTTATTTATCTTTTTATTTCAGTAATGATAATGATAAATAGATAAATGCCCTGATGCTACACCAGGCATGGCTCTCATGACTTCCTATATTAATTAATTAGAAGTGTTCGTGTGCACGTTTTTCCTTGGGCAATTAAGATATACTACAGTAAATATTCTGTTCGAGACCACAGATTGGTTTGTCAGTTGCTTGACGTTAAACCAGTTGGACATATCCTCTAGAAGCTGGTGTACGTTGCATATCTTCTCATGAGTAGGACTTGTGAGAAAAAATAACGGCTGGGAGTCAAGAGAGCTGCTTTTTAAGTTTGAAGACTTGTGCAGCTTGGATGTCTATATACCTATCATCAATAGGAGACAGTTCGAGCGGACTGCGTGACCTTACCTGAAGGTATTCATGACAGGGGCGCACTTCCAATGTTATGCACTGTTTTTTTTAATCATTTCACCCCAAGCAAAGTAATAAAGCTACTAGGATGCAATATGTTACTGAGTATTAGAGAATTTGAGAAAAACTATTATTAAGGAGAAAGAACAATAAAAGACTAACAATTAAGAAGACAGAAGATAACAATTGACATTGCATTTAAATTTTTGAAGTACAATGACTGGGAAGCAAGAAGCCGGAAGAGAGTTACACAATTCCAAAAGCAACAAGTGCGATAGAAGAAACTGTTAACATAGAACTTACGGTTACATGTAGCCATTTCAACTGTGAGATGATGCGACCTTATAGCCAATCTAATACCGCGCTTAAATTCATAAAGTTTAGGTACGTTAGAGAAAGTTCATCAGAACAATTACCAAGAAAGAATTTATAGAAAACGAACAGAGAAGCTACGTTGCGTCGATGGGAAAGGGACTGAAGGTGAGATGCCAGGTCAGGACTAATAATTCTTCTTTGGATTTTATCTAGAATATCTAAATATATAACTCCAAACTAGTTGTGACAGCTGTGTGCAATGAAAGGACGAATGGTAGACTTATAAATATCTAAGATAGATTCTTGTGGGAAAAATTGTCCAGTACGGCACAGTGAACCAACTATTTTAGATGCAAACTTAGCAATTAATTCAATATAGTCTTTCCACTTCATAGTGAAAAGATACCACCGTACAGTGCACATTTAGCAATAATGCATGTGCTTTATCAGGATGGGTGCTATGATAGGTACATTGGGTTTCGTATATATGTACTCCAGCTTCAATCAAGAACAACAGCAGCAGCAACAATAAACATATTGCGAAATCATGTCACTTTTTTTTTTCAGCACGTGGGATCAGGCTGCTGGGAGATAGAAGTTTTTTCTAACCTGTACAAGAATGTTATTTCCGCTTTTTCTTGGCTTAAATAATTATAAATATCAATTTACATTATTCGGACTGTTATCCTCATCTTCATTGCCATATTCACAACGTTTCGGCCGTTGTACGCTCCGGCTTTCTTAAACTGTTGTAACCTAGGAAAAGTTACTGAATAGAATAATCACACGAAGGTAAGTGATGAACGATAATACTTAGGACACGAACAACACATATAAGATTCGCCAGTGGCACGTAGAAGAAGTAATCAACTGCTAGAAGTGAGTCAATGGAATTCAACAATAAATCTCTAACTATAGGATATCTACCAACTGCCCCACGTGGTCAGATGTAGCACAAGGCTGAATTTAATGTGGGGCATCCAAGCTCGTAGGCTCGGCCAAAAATTCCCCATAGACCCCGTATAAAACGCGGTCGGGTAGCCGTTTCCCAAGGCGAGACTTTGCTCTTCGACATAACCTCGTTTGGGGATCCTCTCTGCCCGGAGGCAGAGAGTTTGACTAGCACAGCT